TCAAGCGCCAGTCAGAGTACCATGCCAGGAGGCATCATCGCAAGTAAGTGTCAAACCTTCCCTGCCTTTCTCTCCCTCCAACTGTATAGTGTTGGGAATAGTCTTAGGGACCTTAGGGCTATAGTGTTGGGAATAGTCTTACGGACCTTAGGGCTATAGTGTTGGGAATAGTCTTAGGGACCGTAGGCCTACCTTGGAGGCCAAACCTGCCCTGCCATTCTCTCTCTCCAACTGTATAGTCTTGGGAATGGTCTTAGGGACCTTAGGGCTGTAGTGTTGGGAATAGCCTTTGGGACCTTAGGGCTAGCTTGGAGGTCACCGAATATGGAGGGGGGGATCGTTGTCTCTGTATGCTTGCCTCTGATCCTATGAGCTCTTCTCTACTATGCTTGCCTCTGGTCCTTTCTTTTTAAAGGGCAATGGTCTTGAGATATCATCACTAAATTGAGCTGCACCAGGTAATTCAGATTTTTTTTTCATTCTGTTCATCTGATTGCATCTGGATTTGAACTTGGGTCTGTATTTCAACAGTTCAACGTTGTACCAACTGAGCTAGGCCTGTTGCCTCTGGTCCCGCTTTTCCTTGTTTCCCTTTCCCTCCTTACTTCCATCCCCGAATTCAGAACTGTGTTTCGTCTCTCTTTGAGTCTCTTACATATTTAACGTCTTCACTTTCATTGTCTTCTATATCTCCCTTTTCTCATTGTTCTCCTTCTCCGCGTGCGTTCTCAAAATCATAGCTGTGTGGTATTATCTAGTGCTATAGTTCGGAGCCCGGTCTAGCATGGTTGAACAGAGTGTAGTAGAGCATAGCAATACGACAACACATGGTGTGTGCTGCAGCACATAGCACGTACATAGTATGTATTACATAAGAAAGATTGTGAAGCATAGTAGTGCATGTGTTTATTGCTTGACAGAGAGCCAGAGGCCTAGCTCAGTTGGTAGAGCACACAAGTGGCATTTGGAAGTCGTGGGTTCAACTCCCCGCGTAGTCCGTTCGATTCCCGACAGCCCCCTGCAGTGCGCTTCAGGCTAACCAGCTGAGATAGTTGGCTTGCCCCCACCTGGTCTTGGCAGAACTCAGGGATCCGGCCATCTCTCGCTAGGGGTTAGGAACCTGGGTACTACTCGCCGTGCAGAGTAGAGTGGATAGGTATACATGGGTTCCCTCTAGCAGTTCCCCTCCGGTGCATTGATGTGGAGTTCTGTCATGCTAGATATGCGGGTACATAGCACGGGGTATGTAGGCAGTTAGTGTGAGGTAGAAAAAATATTGAGAGAAGAAAATAGCGTAGTGAATACAGCTGTCCCCAGTATATGAGGAGAGCTTTTCATATGCAAAAAAAAAAAAAAAAGAAACCACATGACAGATATTAGTGTAGTCATTGTGTCGTACAACATAGTCTAGGGCAGTGCAGTTTGCTGTGGCATAGCAGAGCGCTTGTTGCAGAACACCTTTTTTATTTTTTTCCTTTCTTTCAGAACTGGCTCTACCACTAGGAGGGGTGATAAGAGCAACCCCTTCTAGCGGATTGCGAGGTTGCTCCAATCTATTGGTGGGGAGCTACACCTGCTGGAAAGCGGGTCCAGCATCCCAGTGAGCAATTAAACATCCGAACACAGGCTCCCTGCCAGCATTGATTACCATGCAACCAGGGGATTGACTGAGCAGGTAAGAAAAAGTATGTGAGAGGAATTGCCACAGGGCCTCTTCAGCCCTGCTGTCGAGTGCCGGTTCGAACTGACAACCTGGTCCCTGAAAGGTGTTCCACGATGCAGACCCCAAATTCGAATTCCAGGGTCAAGGTCTCAGGCCAAGGGAGGCCAAGTCAGTCAGTTTCAGAAAAGTCACATTCAGGTACCTTAGGAGTCTAGTCCAACAGGCACCCAGTAAACAGTCACATCCCAAAGGCAAAAGTTGCATTCTGTAAGTAAAAGTCACGTCTCATATTGAAAAGTCATGTCCCACAGGCGAAGGACACTTCTCCAGGCAAAAGTCGTGTCGCAGAGGCAAGAGTCACATCCCACAGTCAAAAGTCATGTTTCACAGATGAAAAGTCATCACGCAAGCAGCAGCACACCAATGAAAATTTGGGAAAAGTACCAGGCCTGGACATTCTGAAGCAAGCAGGCCGTGGGCATGTGGTACCGGGTCCAAGTCAAGCCAAAGGAAGCAGAGGCTGGGACAAGTTGAGGCTCAGTCCAAGTCAATATAAGGACTGGCCAGCCACATTTCAGGGGAGATT